TTTACTTGCCTTAGATTTCCCATGTAATCAACTTTTACAACCTAAACTAATGTCCAGCTGTAATCTTAGCTACTCTTCCATACCCTTGACCAGAGGAATGCATATGTGTCCTCTGCTGAAACCAGCAAAGAAAACAGTGTTATAAAATGAATAGCTACCATAGATGTTGAACACAGCATGTAAGGGTAATACTGAACACATTTGTATATTGATTGATAAACAGTGACTTTTGTAATTCTTATTGTTGTCTGGGTCACTTAATCCCCTGTTAAATACTTCTGTAAAGTGTCCCTCATTCTGCCACCACAAGATGCTTTTCATGTGGTTCAATAACAAAAACCTTTGTTAGAAACAGACACATAGAAACAACAGACAGACACAGGAACAGACTCATACAGCAGACAGAAGAGAGAGGCACAGGGACCAGAAAGTAGACAATTCAAATATGAACTTGTTCTTGGTTAAACATCTCTAAGGATAAGTACTTTTATTTATTTATTTATTTTCCTTAATGGGACACTGATACACTCACTAATGTGTTTAAACAACACACTGAAGAAGAGTGTTAGGATTCAGAAACATCTGAATTTCTTCAGTTATATCAGCATTCATCTATGTGTGTGTGCATCTGGCTGTACACATTTCATCACATAGTCCTGGAGAATCACCAACCTTCCACACGTGTGGATTTTTCACCATGGGTCTGCCCTGACTGGCCTCTCTCTTCCCATAGCTCTGCCTTGTGACTCCTACATGTATCCTTTAAAGATGTGTTTCTTTTTTTAAATACTAGATTATAATCTTTATTATATTTCTACAGCTTTTATTTTATGAATGAATGTTTTGCCTGCATGCATGTGTGTGCACTACTTGTGTGCCTGGTGCCTGCAGAGGTCAGAAGGCAGAATTGGATCCCTGGAACTGCAGTTACAGATGGTTATTGACCACAATGTGGGTGATGGGAACTGAACCCAGGTCCTCTGGAAAAGTAGCTCAGCTCTTAATGGCTGAGCTATCTTTCCAGACCCCTAAGATTTTTTTTAAAAAACCAGGGTACTTACTTTGGATTTTATCCAAGTTGCCGTTATATGCATATCAGCTTCATGAAAATAGCAACGTGTTCTCCACTGTTTAGATAAGAACCCATGTGATGGGAGATGTCATTCTGTATATGTTTCTCATACTGGGTAATAATAACGCACTGTTGGCCAATAGGAAAGGAAGATAGGAGGGACTAGGAGACAAGGAGGAAATAGGAAGTAGGGAGGAGTCAGCATGGAGAGACCAGGGTGACCAGATGCCTGCCTCACTCCCCAGTAAGGAGACCACGTGGAAATACATAGAAATGGGTTAATAATTAAGGCAGAGCTAGCCGATTAGAAACTAGCACCTGGCCAACAGCATTATATCAAATACAGAGTCTCTGTGCATTATTTGGGTCTGGCTCTGTGCATTATTTGGGGCTGGCGCGGTGGCAGGACAAGACAGGCGGCAGGCGGAAAAACCCGTACTCCTTACACCCATGTGATAGCCAAGCAAAGTGCCACACACCATTAGCCCCAGAACATGGGAAACAGAAGTAGGCAGATCTCTGTGAGTTCAAGGCCAGCCTGGTCTACACAGTGAGATCCAGGACAACCAAAGTTACATAGTGAGACCTTGTCTCAAAAACAGAACAAAAACCTATGCGAAGCTTTTGCAATGGTAATATCACTTGTAACTATGGAGTCTTGTTCAAAGAGTTTGAGACACTGCTCCATCTTACACTTGTGTGCACTTTTGTTGTAATATTTATCATCATTTTACTTTTGTTTGTTTGGTTGGTTTTTGTTGTTGTGTTTTTCTGAGAAGGTCTTACATAGACAAAGATGGCTTTGAACTTCTGATTCTTCTGGCTCTGTCTCCCAAGTGCTAGGGGTCACAGTATGGCACACCATCACACAGGGCTTTAACTCTTGCTTTTTATTTATTGCAATGCTTGGAAATCAAACTTCAGTCCTTGGGCTAGCAAGGCAAGTTATGTAGCTCTGAGTCACACCCCAGAGCCAGAGACTCTATTGATAGTTATGTCTTTCCCTTAAAGTAACAGGACTTTGGAAGTCAGCCTGGCAGTTTCAAAGCTGTGATTGTGTTTGGCATTGCTCAGTGGAAGAGTATGCATCTAGAATGTACAATGTGAACAGCCCTCTGACAGGCCTAAACATTACAAACATGGTGCCAGCAGGTCTTGTCCTTTCCCCTTCCTTGTCTCTTGCTAAAGCATTGGGTTACATTCTTAAAGCTAACCACAAGATCTATTCCCTTATCTGGCCACTTTCTTCTGCCTGACAAAAACTCCAAGGTCCAGCTATCAAAACACCAAAGTCCACCAATCAAAATTCATTTTTTGGCTATATTGGCTAACCTGTTCAATCAGTACTTACCAACTCACCCTAGCACAGACGTCCCCTTTTCTCCTTAAAACACTTCTGCAAGCCGGGTGGTGGTGGCACAGGCACTCAAGAGGCTGAGACAGATGGATCTCTATGAGTTTGAAGCCAGCCTGGTCTACAAGAATGAGTTCCAGCATAGACTCCAAGGCTACAAAGAGAAACCCTGTCTCAAAAAACCTAAACAAAACAAAACAAAAACAAAACCCACTTCTGCAGAAACACCTGCTGTCTTTGTCCAATCCAGAGGCAGCCCTCCTCACCTGCCCTCCCCCATCCCTCCAGGATGATAGAGTCTGGGTGTGTTCTGGGCTGATTCCAAGAACCCTTTATACAATGTCCTGGCTTTGTTTCTCTGTACTGAAAAAGGCACAAAAAATGTACACAGGGTAAATTCAGGCAAACTGGGTTTCCTCAACTTTCAAGGAAATGACTCCCGACTGCTTTTTATTGCTAAGAACCAAACTGACTGGGAACTCACTCTATCAGAAGAGTAAGGTGCCCACTTACAATTGCAAAGCATTTTTAAAGGGAAAGGGAGGTTTGAGACTGCTACTCTCAGCCCATAAGGTTTCCAAGTTACAGAGATTTCATAGAGGACAAAGTTTTTACAAGGCAGGATTGTTTAGCGCACCTGCAAGATTAGGGGATTTTCTTTCTCTAGGACCGGCGGGCTCAGTGGCCTTGTCCTTAAAATAATGGGGGGCAGGGAGAATGTACTCCAGTCAGGGAGTTATCTATATCTATTGGCAGAAGCACTTATTCTTTCTGGTTTTCTCTTCTTGACATGAGTCCCGTATCTTTTAGTTATTAATTTTCCCCTCACTGTTCTAAGTTTATGTGGGATTTCCAGCCTGGAATTGTGGCTGCAGGAGGACTCACTTCTTCGTGAACTGGTACAGGAACTGGCTTAACAAGGTAACAGCTGCCCTTCCAGATAGCACATGCAGACTGCCACTCTCTAGCACCTTCTCTGCCCCCACCCACTACCAGTACTAAGCTGAAGACTCCCCACCTTGAAGTGACTGCCCCCTGGAAATGAAAAACCCTGCTTTCTCATTCCTGTGTCTAAGTGCCATCATTCATAACAGTGTAGAAACTTGGTAGGGACATGTTATTCTACAGTATATCCTTTTTGAAGACATCCATAATTCTGCTTATGGCTAGGAAGGCTCCAGAAAGGGTGCTGGGCATGCAGCTGGACTAGACTGGCCCTAGCATCTCAAGGGCCTCAGCTACAAGATATTTGACCATCTTAGTAATAAAGACCTCTATGAGAGCTAGTGTTTGTGTGTGTGTCTGTGCACATGTATGAGTGCATGTGTCTATGTGCATGTATATATGCATGTGTTGTGTCCCTGTGTGTATATGTGTATGTGTACTTGAATGTAGGCAGACAAGTGTGTACATGTTTATGTATATGTGTGACATGTGTACATTATGTGTACACATACTTGTTCATGTTCACATGTGTGGCAGATGGGTGCATGCATGTGTGTGGGTATATGTTAAAGCATAGGTGCACCTGTATGTATGTTGACACACATGTGTATATTTAAGTAAATATTTAAAACACTACAAAAGAACAAAATACTAATCTGGGTATAGCATTGTTAGGCATTGTGCTGGCTAGTTTTATATCAACTTGACATAAGCTAGTAGAGGTTCTAGACCTGTGAGTTGAGACCCCTTTGGAGGTCAAACAATCTTTTCATGGGAGTTGCATATCATATATCCTGCAAATCAGATATTTACCTTACGGTTTATAACAGAAGCAAAATTAACAGTTATGAAGTAATTTTATGGCTGGGGTTCACCACAATATGAGGAACTGCATTAAAGGGTCACAGCTTTAGGAAGGTTAAGAATCACTGAGCTAGAGTTATATGAAAGATGGGAACCTCAATTAAGAAAATGCCTCCATAAGTTACAGCTGTAAGGCAATTGTTTTTTAAAGATTTATTTATTATGTACACAGTGTCCTACCTACATGTATGTTTACATGCCTAAAGAGGGCACCAGATCTCACCATAGATGGTCAAGCCACCATGTGGTTGCTGGGAATTGAACCCAGGGCCTTCGGAAGAGCAGCCAATACTCTTAACTTCTGAGTCATCTTCTCAGACCCCATTTGTTTTGTTTTTTGAGAAAGGATTTCTCTATGTAGCATTGGCTGTCCTGAAACTCACTATACAGACCAGACTGGCCTCAAACTAACTAAGATCCATCGGCCTCTGCCTCCCAAGGGCTAGGATTAAAGGTGTGTGCCACCACCACCCAGTTTTTAAATGAGTGATCAATGGGCGAGGGCCCAGCCCACTGTGGGTATCCATCCCTGGGCTGGTTGTCCTGGGTTCTATAAAAAAGCAGGCTGAGCAGCCATGTGGAGCAAGCCAGTAAGTAGCACTCCTCCTCCATGGTCTCTGCATCAGCTCCTACCTCCAGGTTCTTGCCCTGACTCTCTGATGACAGACTACAATGTAGAATTGTAAGCCAAATAAACCCTTTCCTCCCCAATTTGCTTTTGGTCATGGTGTTTTGTAACAGCAATAGATACATACCCTAACTAGGTCAGGTACAAAGCATAACAAATGCGGCTTTAATTTTCAGGTTGCTTTTGGAATTGAACATCTAAAATGGCTTTTAATACATTAACAACAAGGAGAAATCAGGAGGTCTAAATCCCATATTCCTTGGACTTGAACTCTTGACTCTCTGCTTGGATTTCTTGACCCCAGATTCTGTGGTTCCTGCAAGGCTGTGTGCATTTCTTCTTAAAAGTCCACAAAACCAGTAAAAGGGGCTGGTGCAGAGGGGCAAATTGCTCTGCCCACTGAGCATGCTCTACTGTATCTCCAGGGGAGCTGAACAAGTCTGAACTCCAAGCTTGGATAACACAGTAATCGCCAAACCCAAGACACTGAGGCCCATTTTTCATGGCCAAGGAGAACCACTTGCAGCAGAACCATTTAGCAACCTTATTCTGCCTACTGTGCCATGATCCACACAGGTCAGGGCTGCCACTGTGCACTTAAGGTTCTCACATGTGAGGACTGCCACCTCTGGTGTACTTGTTCTCAGGGAAGATGGCACAGACAAGATGGACCAACCTCGCTGCTCAAAAGTACTTGCCACAGTGTCTTTCAGAGTATCACAGTAGTGAGAAGCCCGGATGCAGGTGGGCAATAGGCAGTTAGAACTGGAAATGCCTTCTTCTGTGTTCCAGGTCAAGGGCAGGATTGCAGTTGTTTGTCGCTCATCACTTGTCCTTCTGTGGTAGAGGGAGGTTCCAGTCTGCAGGGGGCCCCTGCCTCAAGGCCCATACCAGGGTGTGCTTCTGTGCAGCCTGGACTCGTGCCTGCTCACTCTCACAGAGGGATCGCTGTACAAATGAGACTCTTGTCACTTATGCTTCACAGCTGAGTCCCAGTACCCCTAGAACTGTCACTCAGCACTTATCCCACCCTCTTCCTCAGCACTTTCTTGAGGAGAGAAACAAAAGGGAATATGTGGTACACAGAGCTCCATAGCTCAACTGCTTCTCCATAACATACCTTGACAACTGGTCCATTTTTTAGCACACACACATCTAGGCCATGCTTTCTCTGCAGCACAGGCCATCTTATCATCTTAAACAGCAATTCTGTTGTGTTCTTTGGTTTTTTAGACAGTGTCTCAAGTGATCCAGGCTGGCTGGCCTCATGATCAGTATGTATGACCTTCAGTTTCTGATATTGCTGCCTCCACCTCCTGAGGTCACAACCATGTAAAGTCTGACTTCAGCCATGTGAAAATGTCTCCTAGGCTTCAGCTACAACTGACCTGGAGAGTTTGGAGCAAGCCTGAGAGTGGGGACATGGAGCAAGGAACAGACAGAAGTGTGAGGTTAAGTTATTGTTGGACTCTGCAGGGTGTGTGTAAAAGGTCACCCTCACTATGATATATATTATATATAGTAACTACACACACACACACACACACATATATATATAAATAACATATATATGGTTAGTTATAGCTCATATATAGTTACAGACAGTAAGTTTCCAGTTTCTAGCCACATGACCACATGAACAAGCTTTCTGCCAAGTTTTACTTTTTCTTATTAGGGGTTGCCATACTTCTATTTTTTGCATTTCTTTTCTTTTCTTTTCTTTTTTTTTTTTTTTTTTCTTTCTTGTTTTGGTTTTTTGAGACAGGGTTTCTCTGTATTGTTTTGGAAGCTGTCCTGAAACTTGATCTGTAGACCAGGCTGACCTGGAACTCACAGAGATCCACCTGCCTCTCCCTCCTGAGTGCTGGTATTAAAGGCATGTGCCACCAATGCCCAGCTATTTTCCAAATTTCTTAAAAATTTTTATTTATTTTTATTGTATATGTTGGGTCCCCTGGAACTAAAATTACAGAGTTTTGAGCTGCCATGTGGGTGCTAAGAATTGAATCCTCAGTCTTCTGGAAGAGCAGTCAGTGCTCTGAACCACTCAGACATGTCTCCAGCTCTGTTTTCTGCATTTTAAAAAAGTTTCAGCAGCTTGTTTCCCACATCAGTTGGTTTGTCTGTTTCAGAGTGTTTATGAATGCTTTCCACACCTAACCTCTTCTTCCTTCACCTCCTATGCCGGCTGTATTTTCCCCATCACACTGCCCATGAAAGCAACATCATTCTCCAGACTGGAGTGTGTCCAGGGAGGCAGGGCTCCCTTTTCACCCTGTATCAGAGATCACCCAAGGAGACAACTATTTGTTTAATGAATGGCTGCTGGAGCCACCTGTGCCTTGGTTATTTCCTAGGCTTTAAGTCACTCTCACCTGAAGGTAGGAAGAAGGCTCACTGACTCAGGAAGCACATGGAATTTAGGAGCAAGAAGCCCAGAGAGTTAAAACTTCACCACAATTCTACCCAAAACTAGGTAGGTAGGTAGGTAGGTAGGTAGGTAGGTGTGTGTGTGTGTGTGTGTGTGTGTGTGTGTGTGTGTGTGTGTGTGTGTGTGTGTGTGTGTTTGCAGGGAGGAGGGGCTCCAAGGATCACTTAAGTGGAAGCTTTTCTTTGGTCGCCTTTCCACATGCTATTCAGAGTGGAGGATTCTTCACACCTCCTAGAGAAGGTCCAGCCTCCCGGACTGGTCTCTGTCCTCTACAGTACTCTCCACGCTCTCAAAGCGAGCCCAGCTGGCCTTCCAAAGGTAACTGCAAATCACACGTGCTTGAACATTTTTAGGTACTCTCGGGTTCATTCTTATGCCCTTTACAGCTCACCCTTAGGCTCCAGGCACCTTGGCTCTTTTCTTCTTCCGTTCTGTCCCCAAGGGCCCGCTGATGACCCTAACGCTGGGCTGTTGTCCTCAAGCCTCTCTATACCTCCCTTCTTTCTGCCTCCCTCCTTGTACTTGACGCCGTTTGGGGACACTCCTCGGGAGGGAAGCACGAAGGGGATGTCCGCGAGGGATCTGCGCACACACTCACACCAAGCGCGCACCTGGGCCTCGGGGCTGCGGCTCTCCTCCCACTCGTGGCAGCTGGCCAGGTCGCGCAGCCACTGCCTGCAGTCCGGCCGCTCGCCGTGGACGTAGTAATGGTGTAGCATGTGCCTGACGCTGCGGCAGAGCTCCCACTCAGCGCGGTAGACCTCGCAGGGCCGGGGAGGCTGCAGGCAGAGACAGCGTGAACGCAGATAGACCCAGAGCCTAACCACACCCAGCCCAGCAGACCAGCAGACTCACCTGCCAGCTGCCGGCGACCGCCATGTCCAGGCCGGTTGTGACTGACAGAGACATGAACCAATGAACGCCAAGTAAATTCGCAGCTAAACAGGACGTCTTCACTGAGTGGTCGATTCTCAGAGACCTCACCAACTAGTGTCTGACCGGTGACTTGGTTTCAAAGTCTTGTAATTGAGTTCCGGCCTGCTCTCCCGGTTTTTTTTTTTTTCTTCCAAATCTCGATGTGGCTCAGCTTTGCAAGTGAAGAGTTTGAACTCAAATAACCCATCAGGCAGTCAGTTTGAGACTACAGGGATCTGGCCTGAGCAAACACTAAGGGTGTCCATGAGCTTTATTCGGTGTGTAGAAAGGAGGGAGCAGATGCAGGGTAGCTAAGGATGAAAGAAATTCTAGAGGCAATTGGCTCTGCGGTGCACACCTTTAATCCCAGCACTTGGGAGGGAGACAAAAGCAGGGTTATCTCTGTGAGTTCAAGACCAGCCAGGGATATACCGTGAGATCCTGTCTCAAAAAAAAAAAAAAAAAAAAAAAAAAAAAAAAAAAAAGCCAACGTATGGGTCTTAGGTCGCTGCTCAGTTAACACTGACTGACCTTGATTCCCAGCACCCATGTGGCAGCACACTTCTGAGAGAGAACTGGTGGCCAGTCATGAGAAGGCTCATCTCTTAAGAGGCACTTGTGAACAGAACCAAGGACCTGAGTTTGAACCCCGTATCCCTCAAGGTGGCAGAAGACTGTACTCTGATGCAAACATGCAGTCATACATTCTTATGTATGCACCATGTATGCATCTCTGGAACTGGAATTACAGAAGGCTGTGAACCACCATGTGGGTGCTTTGGAACCAAACCTAGATAGTGTGCAAGAACAAGTGTTGTTTAACTACCAAACCATCTTCCCAGCTGAACAAAATCTATAGTAGCCAACAGAATCCCATAAATGAAGGCTGCCTTGCTGCTAGTGAAACTTCGACATCCCCCTATGACAGGTCTTGCAGGTACCACAGCATTTATACCTTCCAAAGCCATGTTTGGCCAGTGATGATGTGTCACAGAGATAGAATCCACTTATGTTGTTTCTGGACATTTCTCACTAAGAGTAAATGGATACCTAGAGCCATCAACCCATAGGGAAACTACACCCTCCATGGGGACCTTGTTAGGTGTGACTATCCCCATGGCAAGTGTCAGGAAGTTTCACTTGTCCCTGCCATCTCTTAAGTCTTGTAATGACATTATGCAGTATAGGCTGCTCTACGTGGGCATTCCTGTGACTACTGGCTAGTGACCCAAGCTACAAATCCATGTATCAAACAGCTAGAGGAGAGTTTTAATCAGTTTATTTAATTTTTGAATAAGAACTATTCTCAAGGAACAAATTTTAAATAATGATCAGCATGTCAAAAGATTGTACATCATACAAAGTGCAGAGCTGAGGACAATAAAACAGTAAGAAAATGAGATGGGGGGAACCTCAGTGGCAGAGAATGTGGCATGCTTAATATTCATGAGGTTTCAGCTCAGTCCTAGTACTTGAAAAACAATCATAACTTTGGGTGGTAAATAAAATTGCATGGGGGGGCATACTTTAGTATTTATTCATTCTGACTTCCATATTTGGCTTCAGCATGGAATTCACTGACAGCCAGCAGGTCAAAACAAGAGTGAATTCGTCTGGATGAGATCTCTTCTGAAGAAGTCACTGTAAATAAAAGCAGAGGCCATCTTTGCCAAGGACTCAGCTCATGGCCTGAGTGCTATAATTTGCTGAAAACAATGCCCTATACAGACCTGGGAGGGAAGAGCAAGGCAAGAAGGGGAACAGCCCTGTGAGGTCTGGTCTGGGAGAGCCCTGGAGCAGAATGCATGAAGCAGAGGAGGCAGCCACCCATAGGACCTGAGAGCAATGTCTCTTCCCCAGGTTAAGCACACAAGCTCCACTTCTGTTTTGCACCTACAACAAGCTTAGGTAACTAAACAAACCATAAATTAGAGAGCATTCTCTGAACTTGTCAGAGCCAATAACCATAAGCCAGTATGTTGCAAATGCATCTTTTATTTTCCAGTCAGCCAACAGTTTTGGACTTAGGGCTTTCTTCCCTTCTTCCGCAGCGACTGCCCTTCTCCCGAGAAAGCAACGAATCTGCCCCCAGCTTCATCCTAGGTGTGAAAACAGGATTTTATTTTCAGAAACTTCTCAAACTTCACAATGATTGCTTTATTCTATGGACCTGTGTGTCCCTATCTATATTCCCTACTTTATTATTCATAATAAGAAATGCCTCTGGAGGAGCTGGAGAGATGGGTCAGTGTATGAGTTGCTCTTTCAGAGGATCCAGATTCAGTTCCCAGTATCCATGCTGGGCAGCTCACAGTTGCCTATAACTCCAATGGATTTGACTCCCTCTTCTGGACTTCCAGGGCACTGGCACACATACACCCCAAATGTCTCTGAGTTTTATGGCATTGAGAAACCTACAAATCACAGCTGTGAGTCTACTACCACTTTTGTTTTTAGATTTACTGCACAACCTCCTCAACTTAGGGAGGGAATAAGCTATTTCAGCTGAAGTTATTAAAGTGAAAAGCCATTTCCAAACACCCCAGCCCAACTATACACCACCCTTGTGCCCATGAGGGAAGGGAACCTGTGGCTCCTTGCTGTCACCAGCACTCAGAAGGATCACACCACTTATTAGCCCAAGAAATGATCAAAATTCAAAACTTTAAGTACGTTTCTATTGAATATCTATCACTTTCATATCACCAGAGCTGAAAAATTCTAAATTGAACCATGATAGTTTGGGAACCTTTTACACAGTAATCATTCTGTATTTAAATTTTTTTATGTGTGGGGTGTTTTGCCTATATATTTGTCTGTGTAAAATGTGCATGTGGTGCCCACAGTGGCCAGGAAAGGGAACAAGATTCCCCCTAGGACTGGAGGTACAGGTGGTTTTGAGTTACCACATGGGTGTTGGAAACTGAACCCAGGTCCTCTGTGTCAGTGCCCTCTCTCCAGCTCCACAACAATAATTTTCAATGTAAAGAGTGTAATACTCCAACAGAAAAATCACCCTCCACTTCACCAACACAAATTTAATTTCCAGTCACTTTTCTGCACCTATTTACTTAATCCCCAAATCTCAGAGCCATGAGTTTCTAATCTAAATTCTCTTACTTTCAGGGTGGCAGTGTACTAAACTGCTGAAATAAGTGGCTTAGTCTTTGCACACAGCTTTGGTTTTTTTGTTTTGTTTTTCACCTAGAAGGGAATTCTGGATTAAAAGGTGCTTTTTATATATTGACCAACCAACCATAAGAAACACTAGCAATCAATTCTTTTATAAGCAGCAAGTTTTTTTTTCCTTTAACACAGAAAAACCAGCAGTCTCCCCCTCCCCCACATGCTTTTAACTGTTGGAGAGCTGAGGCATTACCTCCTTTCCTATGGCAGAGGAATCTGCAATTCCCAAAACACATCTTCACACCCACTGTGTGACCCATTGCACCTCTAAGGAAACTCAAAGTTTACATGATGACAGCCATGCAAGTGCAGAGCCATGTGAACAACAGATACAGTCAGTCCCTCTGCCACACAGCCTCCTGTTTGCTTACTTCTCTCTCCTCTGTCCATCTGATCACAGCAAGACTCTACCCATTCATCCATTTCAAGCTAGGACTTGCCATTTTCTTGCTCTATAGCCCAGACTGGCCTGTGACTTTAGATCTGCCTCAGCCTTGTAAGTGCTAGAGTTACAGGTGTGAACCACCACTGGCTCCAGCTGTTTCTACTTCCTTTATGCGATTAAGTACATCCCAAAGTATAGTCCCCAGAAAGACTTCTCAGAGGTATCTTTTGTGAGGTCAGAAAATACTTTTATTATGAACCTGGTGTCTCAACGGTATGAGTCTGGTAGTGGATCAGTCTGGAGCTGCCACGTCATAGACTTGGTGGCTAGAAATCACATTAATCTGAGAACATTCTGGATGGCAAAAACACTAGTCATTACTAATAAATAAAACTGATGACCAATGAAATAAACTCACCTCTTCGATCTTTTTGACCAATGGGCGTGAATTTCTGATGAAAGTGATCTTACCAAGCTTAAATTCGTAATTAGGAATTCCTCTGTGAAGGTGATAGACAAGGAGAAAGGTTAGTTCCAAGAAGAACTAAGATTTACTTCTGACAATAAAGAGAAAGGGAGAGAATGAGGCAGCAAGTGCCTTCTTGGCAATTATCTGGTATACACTGCTCTACCCACTCTGCACCTACTAGGAAGCAACCACAAAGAAAAACACTAGTTGTGAGATAGGGGAGCTGGGCTCTGGGCCCAGCCTCAGACTTCCTCTCAAAGTGCTACACTGGAACCCACCCCAGCATTCTCTTCCTGCACAAATAGTAGACAGCTAGCACATACTTATCCCTGACTTGGGAGCCACCAGAAGAGGGTTTATCATGAATCCCTAGACCAACACTGCCATGTTCTACCACTGTCAGGGAAAGTAAGGGGTTGAACTTACCCAGTAGCCTGCCGGTCTGTTTCCAGTATTGGAATGTGGCACTCCTGTGTTGTGAGCTTTGATACAAAGGTCTGTGCCAGACCTTTCTCAGAAAATGGCAATCACTCAGCAGGGACACACTAGGACAGGCCTACCTTTTAATGTCTCCAGGCTTGATGGGGGAGGGACTGGGCTCAACCCCTTTCTTCTTTCCATCCAGTCTATTCCCAGAACCAGAGAAGGCCTAAACAGTGAAGTCAAGAGGATGTTTGCTAAACCTCAAGAGTGAGCAATATGTGCTTTCTACTTAGAGACCTCAGACTAGGTGTGAGCTAGTGGCAATACCCAGAGCCCCTTGAGAGCCGCCAGCCAAGATATTTCCACCAGCTCCTCAGAGAGCTGAAGGAAGCCCCAAGAGCCATACAGGAGAGACGGAAGCAGTGATGGTGGACCTCTGCTACAAACACCTGCCAGGGTGCTCCTTCCCACAGATCTACCCAGCACCTCAGCGCCTGCACATGAGCCATTTTTACCTGTTTACCAGGGAGCCTGGCTAACAAACATGCATCTAACTTGCAAATAATATGGGCAAAAAAGCAGGTTGTGTTTTCAGAGGTAAAAGCAAAAATGTACTAACAACTGATGAATGAAAAGGAAGGGCTGTGTATATTATTATACTAATTTGATTTTTGGTAGACACCCTGCCAACATACACACACACACACACACACACACACACACACACACCCCTACCTACCTACCTACCTAGGGATCATTCCAAAGTCCTATGTTTTGAAAGGAAAAAGAGAAGTTGGAAGCCTTTCAGGGTTGTCAAGGTTCCAGAGAAAGCACATATTGAAAGGTTTGGTAACTGAGTAAGTGCCTGATTCATTTGCTCATATGGGTACCCAGAGTTTACATCCTGCTAATGTTCACAAAACATCAGTGGGAACAGTTCCTGGCGTCAGGATGCAGAGAGACACACACTGCCTGGTACTTACACGGAAGCCCACCTCTCCAGCATAGCCACTGTGGTCAGCTTCACCCTCCTGACAGGAGAACAGAAAAACAAGAGGTGAGCTTCTTAGAGTGGACAGTCAGTTTTGCCCAGAGCCTCCTGTTTCCACTGCTGCCCCAGTGTCCACCAGCTAGAAAACACTGTCCTCCTAGGAGGCAAGGCTGAAAAGCAGTAAGGACCATGACCCAGCCAGCCACTGCAGAGTCCACTCACAAACATAGGAATGAGCCTGCAAGTTTACTCACCAGGTGAAAATGCTTGCCATCAAGCCTGAAGACTTGAGTTCAATTCTTTGTACTCACATGGTGGAAGGAGAACCAACTCTCAAAAGTTGTCCTGACCTCCACATACATGCTATGCACACAAACCCCAACACAACATATTTAAATGTAATTAAAACAAATAAGAGAAGCATGGGTATAAATATCCCACACATGATCAATCAGGAAGAATTCAAGAAAACCACTTACTATTGACTCCTCATGCTGCACTGGTCTTTCTGGTTCTTTATAGCCCAAGGGAGCATCAAAATCCACCTGTTTTGAAAATAAAAGGTGAAATTATGAGACACACTCAGCCTCCTTAACTAAGTCAGATAACAGTAGCTTGAGAGTTCTAAGCAAGAGCACTGAATGTGCATTCTGCCCAGTTTTCTCACCAACAGCACTTTATACAGTTCAGCATCACTACAAGAACATCAACATTATAAACACTGTTGTTTGGGGAGCTGTGTATGTGATTAAATATAACTATCACCATGGGAAAGGTACTAAATAGTACTACAACTATTCACATGTTCCTGGTAACCGTTAATCTGTCTTCCATTTCTAAAGCCTGACAACTTAGGATGTCACATAAATGAAAGGAGACAGTGTAACTGGGGGGGGGGGCAGTTTTGTCAATAATATGTTCCCACTTAGCTCCTAATATTCAAACATTCACTCCTTCAAAGACCTGATGTCTGCGAAGTGCAGTCAACTGACTGCCACTCCCATTCCCTAAGGACTACTAAGTAAATGGCCTCCTCCTAATCCTCTTGACAGTATCTTCTCCTCTTCCCCTTGTGTAACACCCTCCTGGGGGCCTGACCTCACTAAAATCTGAAAAAGTCACTCACATTCATGTCACATTCAATAATGGATACAGCCTTGTCAGGTTTGGTCTCCATCACCCGCAGTTCATAGATCTGCAGAAAGAACAGAAAGATGAAGTTTTGAGGTAGTAATAGGGCTAAGCAACATCTCTGTTGCTGTGGCTCACTGCCTAGCTTCACGATATCATTATGCCTTCCAGCACTGACAATGCTGCTTTGAGTTCAGATCAAAAGGTAACAGTTCCCACATGTGGGTTTAATTCCACAAGCTAGTTAGCATCATATTAAAAAAGATTATTCCTGACCTAGAAATTCACATCTAGGCATTTATTCTAAGAATTAGCTAAGTGTTTAAAAAGACAAGTGTAAGAATGCTCACACCAGTAATGCTAAGTCTATCCTTCCAAAATGCCTATCAGTAGATAAATGAATTGTATTGCTTATATTAAAAAAAAGGGAGGATGGAAAGCAGGCCAGCTAGGTGTGGTGGTCCACATCTTTAATCCAAGAACTTAAGAGGCAGAGGCAGACGTATTTCTGTGAGTGCAAGGTCACTATGGTCTACAAAGTTCTAGGACAGCCAGGGCTGTTTACACAAAGAAACCCTGTCTTGGGTGGGTGGAGAATTACTGTTTAACAGCAGCACTCGGGAGGTAGAAGCAGGAGGATCTCTGTGAGTTTGAGACTAACCTGGTCTACAAAGCTACACAGAGAAACCCTGTCTTGAAAAACTGAAAGAAAGTGGGAGGAAGGGAGGGAAAAGAAATTGGGCCGAGGCTGTATAGCGTTGTTGTTTCACACAGACACCCAAAGTGTAGATGGACATGCAACTGTGGTAGTGAACAGGTGGAGGTCAGAGTATACATGTCAAAGGTTGGTCCTCTCCTCCTACCAGGGATCAAACTCAGATCACCAGGATCATGGGACTAGTATCTTTACTTGCATTGCCCCACCCTGCAGCTTGGCTGTACAGCATTTGTACAGTATGTGCCAGGCCCTAGGCCCACTCCCTAGCACTGCAAAAGCAAATGAATAAAATTAAATGAAGAACTAGCTCACTCAGTAAAACAGTGGCTGATGACCTGAGTTTGGATCCACAGAATCTACATAAAGGCTGGATACAGTAATACAAGTACTCTCGGCATGCCCCTACAGGAAAATGGCTGGAGGTGCACAGGCCAGCTAGTGTGCTCCAGGTAGTAGTGAATAAGACACTGTACCAACAAGGTGGAAGTCAAGGACTAATACCCAGTAGTACATAAGACTATCCTCTGACCAACACACACACACACACACTCCCCCAAATAGTAATAAAACAATAGTAAGAAAACAGATTTCTTAAAGTGAGGATTTAAATTTCATCCCAATTATGTAAGTGCTATATGATCTACTTACTCTTCCTTATTGTGCAAAAACTTTAACAGTAATTTGAATATCACCATTAAAAAAATCATTATCACTTTATTATAAGCAATAATGTGAAGCTGCTTATAGATTACAGTTTGCTAACAGATAATACCTAAAGTAATCTGACAAAAATAAAGATAAGGACATTAACTAAGTTTATACCCCCAAAACATTATGGTTTGAATGAATAGAAACAGAAAGTACATACAAATCTTCAGTATTATTGACTTGAACACTCAATATACAAGGGAACCAACCACTAGAGATACAGCTGGGTCCCTACACTGACACCATGGGAAAAACTGGCTGACCAGGGCCCCAACACAGTTGTGGGGACCTAGTTGTGAAGGACTTCAGCAATGGTCTCAGGGAAGCCAAACTATGCCAAGCTGGGGTCACTACTGAACCCTGTAGGTCAGTCCTGGCACAGCTCCACAGCCATCAGTTTGTAGAGGCACCCATAGTGTCATGCTAAGGGGACATGAAAGCCTTGATGGAGAGCATGGAAGTGATGCCTTATTGAGCTTTGTGGGAACTCACCTGTCATCTCATCTACCAAGCTGTCTTGAGTAAGAGATCTGAGCAGTAGAGAACCATGGATGAACGGTAAGCAGTACTCAGATTCGACAGACTTAAGTCAGGAAGTGGCTAAGGGAAGATCCATAGAGGAAAATGGACACTCCCATGACAAGAGACCCCAAGATGCACTGTCCTCAAGCAGCCAAATTCTATGGCCATCCTGTCCCACAACAGGCTCTGCTTCTCAAAGGGCTGCCTGCTTTCAAGAGAGGGTATAACAAGGACAGGGGCCCAGTTAGCTTGTTTTTTGTTACTCCCAGCATAGCAGAGGACTTGGCTTAGATAAAAGGACAGGAAAAAAAAAAACAAACTTTTTTTTTTTGTTGGGGGGTAGGTTTGACTTGTTTTGTAGTCTAGATTAACCTTGAACCCACAACCCTGCTGCCTCCATCTCCTAGATGGTCAGATTACTAGCAAGCACCACCAGCAAAGACTTTTTAAAAACAGACTTAAAAAAGAAAATATTTATTTCTATTTTGTTTATGAATGTTTTGCCTGCAAAGTATGTATATATGTGTACCACATGTATGCCTAGTTTTCATATAGGTCAGCAGAGGGTGTCAGATCTCCTGGAAGAAGAGGTACAAGCAGTTGTGAACCTTGTGTGGGTGCTGGACATTGAATTGGGTACTCTGTAAAAGCAACAAGTGCTCTTAATCATATATGTATCTCCAGCCCATTAACAGATGTTTTTAAAAGTAGAGGTAATGAATAAGTATAAAAGTATTAAGCTTATATTTCTGAACATACATTGCTTTGACAAAACAACTAAGGAAACAGTCTATTTTGGCTCAGAGTTCAAGCAGGAGTTCAAGGCAGTTGGTCACACTGTAGCCACAGTCAGAAATGGATGCTGGTGCTCAGCTTGCATTGTTTTTATTCAGTCTAGGACCCCAATGCAAGGAACAGTGATTAGATGGGTCTTCCCATGTCAACCTTATTTACTAATTCCTTCCTTCATGGACATACTTAAAGGTTTGATCCCATGGTGTTTCTAAATCTATTAAGCAGCAATCAAAATTAACCACCATTGGGGGCCCAATGATTTATTCTAGAGATAAACACACATACATGCATGCACACATCTTTTAAAAAAATTAACCATCACACCGAGTGAATTAGGGCTCCAAATGTGAACCCAGGTAATTTCTAAAAATCAAAGAACAGGCAGCAACTAGATGATTTAAAAAAAAAAAAAAAATTGTAGAAAGAAACCTAATTCAATACCAGAGTGGACAATGATGGACTCATTCTCTTGTGGAGTGGGGAGTCTTGTGAAACCTTGAACTTACAATAGTCCTATACGGTCAGATTACTAGCATATACCACCAGGCTCAGTCAGCAAGGATTTTTAAATTTTTAAAAAGCAGTTGGGGGTGGGGCGGGGCGTTGGTGGCACACACCTTTAATCCCAGCTCTCAGAAGGCACAGGCAGGTGGATCTCTGAGTTTGAGGCCAGCCTGGTCTACAGAGCTAGTTCCAGGACAGGCTCCAAAGCAATACAGACAAACCCTGTCTCAACAAACAAACAAACAAACAAACAAACAAAAAAGGCAGGGGAAGGTGTGTGTGGTGTGGTGTGATGGAATTTGTTTCTATTTTAAGTTTCTGAATGTTTTGTCCGCATGTATGTATGTGCACCACAGGCATGCCTGGTGCCCACAAAGACCAGAGGAAAGTTCCCAGACTCAAGAACCTCCCCTCCCCCCACCCCTAAGTAGCTGCCTGTAAACTGTTTAGCAAATTCCACTAATGCATCCTCCCTAAGTCACACCCCAGCTCACCCATGCTCCTGTATCTCACCCCAATAAACTTTTTGGATCATCAAAACAGATTTACATGGAATCAATTCTTTGGCCTGTTGTTTCCCTCTCTCTAGGATATACAGGCACAGTAGCATAACATTCTTTTAGGAGTAATGTAACAGGCTCACCTACCTTCTCATTGTAGTTGATAGCAATCACATCTCCAGTGGTCAGACAGGCAAAGTTTCTCAATGCATTTTCTAATCTGCATACATGCTGTCAAGGCATCATGACAAGGTATAAACCTTCAATTGGAAACAAGTGTCTGTGGGAGGTTGTTATGGCTGCTCATCTCAGGCAGACAGTACCATGAAACACCACACAGCTTTAACACAATGGATGACTATTCCCCAGAATCCTCTATGGCACACTATTCCTCAGGCTAACCTCCAGGAGCAAGACTGGCTCCTAGAATTACGCTGGTAGGCCCTGGCAAATGGTCAGCTCCCCATTCTCTGATGTACACTATCTAAGTTCCTTTTCTCATCCCTGTAACCAAATACTCAACAGGAAGCAATTTCGGGAAGAATTTATTTAGGTTCGGAGTTTGCCCTCAAGAAAATTCATCAAAAGGGGAAGAGCATGCCGGCAGGAGAGGCTTGTAGCTGTGGAGGTAGGTGGGTATCTATCCACATCTCGGTGGATCAGAAAACAGAAAAGGAAATGATGGCACTTAACTTAGTTTACTCCCTCTCCCTTTGTATTCAGTTTGGGACCAAGCCCATTTGATGGGGCTCCCCACATCCAAGGGGGTCTTCCCACCTCAGTTAAATCTCTTTTGAAATACTCACAAACATGCCTACTATGTGATTCTAAGCAGTCAAGCTAAAATGAAAACTATTACATATGCCAAAATTGTCTTTACCCTATCAGTCATACCCAGGAATAGCAGTTGACCAACGTGACACTCTCCTCATGACAAGGAGAAAAAGCCTCTAAGACCAGAGAGATGACTCAGCTGTTAAGTGAATATAGCTTTTGCAGAAAACCCAAGATTGATTCCCAGCACCCATCCTGGACAGCTTATAATCACCTATAACTACAGCTCCAGGGTATCTCTTTTAGCTTTCAAAGGCATCTAGACTCACACACACATACCTGCATCCATACACATAATTAAAAAATAAAATGGAGGCTGGAGACAATGGCTCAGTGGTTAAGAATACTACTCCTTCAGAGGACCAAAGTTTGGTTCCCAGCACCCACATTAAATGGTTCACTATCACCTACAACCCAAGCTCCAGGGGTTCTAATGCCCTTTTCTGGATTCCTTGAGTATCTGCATGCATACACTTCCACATAGACATACCCGAAAGAAATGTTTTTAATCTTTAAAAGACCCCTGAAAGCAATTTCACAAATCTATATTATAACATGGGAAAACTCAAGGATCCTAAAAGAGATATAATGACAACCAGACCCATCCTGCACTGACAGTAAAACATTTGTAGGTCATTTTGAAGGCTAAATTAAGTAGCTCTTCCTACAAATGTCCAGGACAGGACACTTCTACCACTGTGTATACTATGGAAACAAGTATCCAACATGTCCCCTTTGTCTAGGACTCAGCCAATCTAGGTCTAAAGCCATCCTGTCTAGGACCTATTCAGACAATGGCCCATTGGCTTCCAGGAATGGACCCTTGGCACAACACCCTGCTGCTAACAGTGAGTGGAGAATTAACAGGTGGGGAGGGAAGGAAGAGCAGTTTCTGCCTGTGTGTTTGTTTTTAAGCGTTCTACATGTTATGTTGTTTGAGGATTTTTGTTGTTTGCCTTTAGACACAATCTTGTTATACATATCTGACACAAAGCATGTCCCTAATTTACAGTGCTCACATTTAATTTTTAAATACATATACCCAGCTGAAGCTGAGGTGAACATAAAAAAACCCAACCATAACAAACTTTCGCTTCCTGCTTGCTAAAACACAGAAAATGTACTCAGCCAATCTTTATGATCTTGAAGGGAATGGGCCCTAACTCTGAGCACAAAGTGGGCTTGATTACTCAGTTCATGCTGAACCTGGGCCATAGGCTCCACAGAGAGTTGCTGATTAAAGGCAGATGAGCCTTCCTCTTATACTCTGCATCTTGGTCTTTGTCCTAGGTAGCCATAAAATTAAAAGAAGGCTCTGCTTTGGAGTCTAAGAAGTATCTGCAAAGTGACTGCTGTTATTATCAATTACAACTTCAATCAGAAACAATGTGTGGTTCCCCATGCTGTTCAGTGACACCTAGGAACTCTCCTTTATAGAGGGAGTCTTATGTCAAAAGGATACACTGCTTTAGGGTTGGTGATATCCAGGAAGTCCGGGCTCTGAGGCTGGAACTTAGAGTAGGTAGCCACTTGAAGGTTGACACTCTCCACCTGAACCAGGCCCCCTTCTTCCAACAGCAAATTCTGCATCATCTAAAAATGAAAAAAAAAAAAAAAAAATCTCCATTAAGAAGCCTCTATGGCTAACATCTGCCAGTCAGTACACTGAGCAGGTCAAATCTTATTTGGGGGGGGGGGCGGCAAAAAGCCCAGGACAAAGACTTGGAACAAGAATTTAACTGTGATACAATGTCACAGAAGAAAAATCAAGTGAGGGACATACAGGGAAACAGACCCCCCCAGTAAGGGATTCCCCTGAGGCTGCATCATCAGGCATTGTGATCTGTCTGTGCCAAGGCTATCTATATGCAGCTTCCTGTATACAATATCCCCAGCTCCAAAGCTGTCCCACTAGCAGCATTCAAGGCCCCAAAGCAATCAGGACCATACTTATGGTAGAATGGCCATACAAGGAAAGGCTGGTCAAGGAAGGCCCCAGAGATGTCTGCTACAGAGGGTCATAAAAGACACCAATAGACATGCATTGATCAACTACCCAGTAAGAAGGATAACGACTGAGGATGGGAACAGGAAGTCATAAATGAAGGCTGTGAGAATCTGGCATGTAGTAAACTAGGGCAATGCAGTACCACCAAGTTTTAAGTCAGAGGCAGGGAGGCATACTTGGGGCAGAGGGCTAGGTTGCAGGTCCCAGAATGGATTTTTTGCTAATTTTAAATAGATGAGTAGAAAGAACTGCAAAGTGAATTTCCACTAGCCTTCCCTAACACCCCGAAAGTAATCAAAACAGAGCTACCTCCTTTTATGTTTAGGAGCCCCAATGCTGGCCCCTCCCATGAAAGGCTGACTGAAGCAAGTCTACAGAGATGCAAATCCTGTTGAAAATATTCCAGAGAAAGAAGTAGGGGCCAAGGGCTTGGTGCAAGTAAGGAGGCACTCGTCTAAGATTAAGGCAGGCTGAGGCACAGCCCCAGGTCAAGACTGCAGAGACTCCAGCACACTGTGCTAAAGGGGTGGAAATGACAAAAATGGAGGGTAGCCACTCCTTCAAATGCCACAGGCAGCTGGCTTAGACTAAGGGTTCTGCAACCCTAAGAACAGATATCCTAATGTCCAGAGTCAGCCTAGTATAGGTCAAAGCAGTACAATACAAAGTTATCATTAAGGAAGGAGGCAACTGTAACTGTGGCATGAAGCTCTAGAGCAAAGAACAAGAGGGCACCTACAGGCTGAAGGGAAGCCTACTGCTCCCCCAGACAGAAGCAGGACATAGCCACAGACATCATGAAGCAGGAAAAAGGGTTGGACCAAGCCCTGCAGAAGAAAAAGACTTCTGAAAGAAATAGACAACAAGGAAGCAAAAGGATCTCTGCCTGGTCCATTAGTGGGCACTTTGGTGTAGATAGCATGGCAGACCCTGGTCTGATAGTTTCTCAATGCTGGCAGGCAAACTAATAGTAAGTATGATTAACAGGCAAGGGTCCAGCAGCTAGGAGATAGGCTAGCATTTGTTGCAGCCCGGTTCTCCCTGAAACTTAGCAGCTCCAGGTAAGATAAAGTTCACTGACCAGCGAAGTGAAATCACCCATGCACATACCCCCTTGTCACCTGAACTAGAAGCTGGAAGACAGTAGGCAAATGCCTGTCCATGTCATGAACTGGAAGGCCAGCCCACAAAGGAAAAACAGACCCATCCTCTACAGGCATCCTACATGTCACATGGCATCTCAGAGAAAGGAATTCAGATAGCTTCCTGGGCTAAAGTTGTCAAAGAATTCAGTCAAGTAGCCATCCAAGTTGTAAGCTCCAGACTTAAAGGGAGGATCTTCAGAGCACAGTGTTGTCACTTCCTCTCACTTCATGTCATTAGGTGAGCCATAGGGGTCCCCACAGGAAGAGAAGGACTGAAAGAATCACTACCCAGAACTTCACCCATCTAGTGCAGCTTCAGAGACCAGGCCTGCTACAACAGGACACTGCTTTGTGCCTTGTGCAAGGGCAGTAAGCGATACGTGTAAGTGATAAGCAGGTCAGATCTAGGCTTTAGCACAAGTCCCATAGTAAGTCTAGGCACTAACACACATAGCACATGGAAGGCCTGGAAGTAGGAGTTGCAAGTCCAAGCAGGGCTCCTGTTGGGGAGAGCATGGCCACAACTCATCAAACACCCTGGGGACCAGCTGGAAAAGGGTGGCATGGACAAGAAATGATCTTTAGAACTTGAATCATATGGAACTATGAAAAGGAAAAGCTACTCCTTTGGAATGTGTGGATCACTGTGACAGAGCAAGCAAGTGGTAGAGGAAGCACCAGAGCACTGTTCTGGTGGTGGTAGAGCTGCCCAGTATAGCAAAGCACTTCTGTGTCCTCAGCCCCATTCACAGCCTACCCAGAGGCTTTTGGGTCATCTGACACCATTAAGGCACAAAGAAAAGGATATAGGCTTCACTGGGAAGGCTTTCCAAAGCTGAGCTTGTCAAATGGGCAAAGGACATAAGGGAGAGATGGAAGGGAAGAAGGGTTGTGTGCAATCTCACAACCACGCTATAGAATGCTTAACACCTCAGGGTCCTCCCCCAGTGCTAGGTAGTTCTGCTAGCCTGAGGTGCCCTGATGGGAGATGCCATGTTTCTCGTATTGGTTAATGAACAAAGCACTGTTGGCCAATAGGAAAGCAAGATAGGTGGGACTAGGAGACAAGGAGGATTCCAGAAGGAATAGGGAGGAGTCAGGACGTAGAGACTGGAGAGAACAGAGGTCCGGGTCCTCTCTCTGGTAGATTAATAGAAATGGGTTAATATTTAAGATAGAGCTAACCGATAAGAAATAAGTAATTGGCCAACAGCATTATATCAAATACAGTGTCTCTGTGTGTTATTTGGGCTGGTGCAGCTCTGGGACCAGGCCTGCAAGAAAACCGCTCTTAACAGTGCCCTGCTCCAAGGAAAGCTCTAGAGCTGCTCTTGCCCTTGATGAAGCACCCAGCTCTACAATGACATCCTTCACATCAGCTTGACCTGTATCTACACAGCCAACCATATTGTTCTAAACAGCACACTGCTGAGAATGTCCTACTCTTACTGGGCCTTTTTACTTGGAAGGATTCTCAGGCATGCACATGCATGCAAAAGGGGTGTCTCTACTTATGAGGTCCTCAAGAGAAAGACTCTACAGACCCTAGCAGCCCAACTTACCCAGTGGGGGAGGTAACAGATGCCTTCATCAGCAACAAACTCAAGTACACCACAGTGTGTCATTCGGTCTGAGTTCTTATTGGTCAATTTAAACAGCATAGGATAGGTAATGTTGAGCCGGCCTAAGAACAAAGAGGTTATAAGACACAATCAGGTACCCCACCTACCACCAGTTCCTGTGAAGGAAACCTTACTCACCCAATGCCCTGTCCTGTGGCCTTGACCACTAAGCTTCAGTGCCTGCCCCCACATTCCCATACTACTCAGTCAAAAGGATATCACTGTCCATAAGAACACATCATGTGGCCCTAGAGGAGCTTGGTGACTTAAGTCATGCAGCATCAGCACAGGCATGATTTTCTAAAATTATGGTTCATAAAGGCATCATGTTCATTTATTTATTCATCAATGTTTTAAGTACCAACCACATGCCGCCCAAAAATCTGTTCCTTTAAAGTTCTTTATTTAGATAGATGAGACTGTGAACTGACATTCACTACAGTACCAGATGCTGCAGGAACCCAGGAAGAGTGGACAGAGAGAAAGATCAAGGTACGAACAGGCTTCCCAACCCCAAAGACCAGTATTGCCAGGTCAGCCACCAGACACACAACCAGGAAAGGGGCAGCTGAGCAAAGAAATGGAGGGAAGAACTCAGCCAGTTCAAGGAATGACCAGCAATTAGGCAAGATGGCTAGGGTCAGGTGTGAGAATGAGTCACAGAAGGGAGAGACTATGATGAAAACACATAAAACAGAAACTTGTATCTAGGCCCAGTGGGTAGCCCTAGCTTAGCAAGGTCACACACAGTATGTCTCCATATTCTAGTGGTCTGAGAGTTAAGTTAGGGCTGCAAAGAGGGTAGGAGACAGCAGACAGGACTGATGGAACACTGACTCAAAAGCCACAAGGGCACAGAAAGGAGAGCCTGGCCATATGAACAGGAAAAGCCTGGGACACTGGGATAAGGGTTGAGAGAGTACCAACATGTCCTGGGCATTTGTTTAATCTTCTAAGAATAATCAAGAAGGTACTATCATCTCTCCCCTTTTGTTTTTTAAAGATTTATTTATTATGTTTACAGGGTTCTATCTGCATATATCCCTGAAGGCCAGAAGAGAGCACCAGATGGTTGTGAGCAATCGTGATTGCTGGAAATTGAACTCAGGACCTCTGGGAATCCAGCTAGTGTTCTTAGCCACTGAGCCATCTCTCCAGCCCCAACTCTCCCTTTTTAAATTAACAGGAAAAACTGAGACATGTGGTTAAAAATCACATGCCCCAGATTACCCTGCTCAGGAGTAGTGACATTAGGATCCAGAACAAAACTGCTTAAGTCTGGGAACTCTGCCACTGAAGTAGACTGCAGCCTGTCAGGTTAAACATACATACCAGGACTTCCTCCACAGCCCTAGATGGCCTCCAGCTCAAAGGCCTGCCCCTGCCTCCCCAGTGTTGAGACTATAATTGTACACCACCACACCCAGCAAGAGAAGACCACTTAGCATCAGTAAGTAATGGGGACTTTTGGCCTCCCTCTAAATGTTGAATGAGTGAGATGAATCAGGGAAGGGCTTGGGGAGGAAGCTCCAAAGCAGCTTGGAAAATAGCCTCACTAAGGTGACACTGCTAGCACAAAGGTGACTGAGACAAGTGGCCCAGGGCCAAAGAGGTAGGCTCTGTATCACTAAAACAACCCCAGGCATGGAAGCTACAAGTTGACCCCTAGATGTTCTTGGGTGCCCCAGGCCAGGCTCCAGCCAAAGATCCCAACTCCCCAGGCCTCTATGACACTTCCTACAGCCAGAGACATAACCTGCATTTCACAGATCAGGACTCCCTTGGTCTTAACTTGGATAGAAAGGGGTTCTTCTATCACTTAAGAAGTATCAACAAGAGCACAGTGGCACATACTTGTAACCCAGACACTCACAAAGTCAAGACAGGAAGATTTTAAGTTCAAGGCTCAGTTTCAAAGAAGAAAACCTTCTACAGGGCTGAGGGAATAACTCAGTAAATACACACTCACCTAGCTTGTCTGAATCCCTGGTACACTAAAAGCAAGCAAGCAAGCAAGCAAACAAACAAAAAACACTGAACATTGATCTAATCTGGTAGAAGCTCAGTTCCTGAGCATCTTCCAGGACACTATTATAAGGGACACACTTCGGCTTCTTGGTCAACTCATCCCCAAAGCAAGACCAAGGACCCATCCTGTCTCATAGGTCACCTCCCCACTTGTCACTAGAACCAGAAGGGCAGCTCCAATAACGGGCACTGATGGTGTCCCTGCTTGGAGACACTGAAAGCCAAAGAAGCTAAGCAGGCAAAGTGCAAAGCCCAAACACAGCAAAGTGGCACCTGGACTCTGTGAGTCACCATTACATCCCATAACCAGTCTCCACAGGGTGAATTCAAAGCAAGAACATCAAGTTCCAAAAGCCAAGACTGCATCCATAACTAAGGCTATCCATAACCTAAAAAAGGAAGCATGTGCCTCTTCTCACAAGGGGCCGGACCTGGCACAGGAAAAAAGTTATGGCTCAACCTCCAGTTTCCTTGGGATGCAATGTCACATTGGAGGTGAAAAATTCTGGCCTGGAGCTCAGGAAAGCTATCTAGAAAGGAGGTGAAGAAGCACTTCCCATGGTCCTCTAGTAAATTAACCATTTTTCCTTTAGGGAACAACCTAGTGAGCCCATACCACACTATGAACCGCTCAAGCACTTTCACATTGCACCTTTGTATCTAGACAAGAGCTTGAGGCATGGCGGACAATAAGATCAGGGGCTGGATGGAAGATTCCCTTATCTGAGGGTGCTTACAGTGCCAAGCAGTAGAAAGCACAACCACACACACCTTGCCTCGTCTAAGGTACTGTGGCCTTGGTCCTTCTAACCCAACATAACCCTCAAAGAGGATTCTAACCACATCCTGACCAATGTTACCGTGATCTGAACACAATGAAAAACCTAGGCTCACATCGGACATCCACTTATATTACCTAAATTGTTAAGTTACTTAGAAATACTTACTGAGTTGATCGAGGGCTGAGGGCGGCATAATTACTGTGAAAAAGAATATTTCAGGAATATTAAGTAAATTAAAATAAAGGGAAAGAACAAAGTAAAGGCAAGATGTATACTTTCTGATGCATCTTTTAAAAGCTTTAAACAGTGATTTTAGGGTGCTCAGAATTTTATAATGACTTTTCATAAAGAATCTTACTTGAAGTTATTTACTTTTGTGCTCTGAATGGCACTCAGTCATCATACATAATTAGCACCCTACTCCCATCACCCACGCCCTAGGGTGAGTGACATTTTTACTATAACGCTAGTGTTTGATGCCCACATGCAAAATAAGGGCTATGGAAGGCTACAAGGCTCATTCATAGACTTTAGGGCAGGAAAGGTTACTATTCAAAATAAAAACAAGCACATACTCTTCCCTCCTTTCTCCACATCTGACCTGTCATTAGGCCCTGCAAGCATAGACACGGAGAAGCAGCGGTATTGTGTAGAGAAGCGGTTCTGGAAGACCCGGGGAATTGGGTGGTCAAACATGTTGAAAGAGAACTAGAAGGAAGAAAGAAATGGTATTATTAGCAAAACAAACAAAGCTACTTAAAAATAATACAAAAATAAAAAAGATGAAGACTCCTTTTGTTGCCCAGGCTAGTCCTGAACTTAAGAGATTGTGACTTAGCCTCCCACATAACTGGGACTTCCAAGTGTAGCCAGTGTATCTAGCTCAAAGGCATATTTCTTCAGACCAAAGACTAAACATGTCGAGTCATCCATGCTGATAAATGTGGCCAAAGAATGTAACAATTAAAATCTCATTATCCAAAGTGTTCTGTCAGCACATGAACCTCCCCAACTCATCCCTCAGGTCCAGTTCTCATTATCTGTAGACACTGCAACTTTACTAAAGTAAAACTTAGTCATACCAGACCTTCCCTTCCCATCTTTCTGCTACTATTCCCTATTCTCAGATCAAGGTGGGACCTTACATACACGTCACAGAAACTCATTACTGACCATCCACCATCTTCTAACTTGGCACATTCCTGTCTGGGCTTGTAACTATCTGGAGGCTTTTCCCCTCCACCCTTAACTTAGAATACCACCTCTTTTTCTGAGTGCCTACTATTTGCTCAGCTCTGATATGGGCTTTAAGAAACATCACTTTAGTAATGTTTGGGTACCAAAAAGCCAGATCCCACCTCTCTGCCCTAGTGAATTCCATGCTAAAGACAAGGAGGATAACAACGTATGTCTGGGGTTTTAAATAAAGACAAGAAGCAGATATGGGGGCAGAAAACACCTGAGAATGGCTATTAAGCAAGCATTCAAGAGGAGATCCTCATCAGAGACCTACATGTCACAGGTCAACTGGGCAGGAAAACAAAAAGGCATTCCAGGTGCTGGAAAAGCTGTTTGCCAATTTACGCTCGTGTATGCCTGGCCTCATCTGGCTCTTTACAGCAATCCCTTTTTTTCTCCAGTAAGCCTCCCTTGCTTGGCCATGAGTCAAGGTAAGTGCTTCTCCGGGATGCTCACAGCACAGAACAGACCCCCACACTGTGTCAAGACATGAGGGACTGCCCCCAAGGTAGTCTGCTGACCTCACATGCACAGATATAGACTCATAACACCCCCTCCTCTATTGCATAAGCACACATGCACACACACCTCCCCACCAAAAAAATCTTACAGGATAGTTCTTCAGTTACTAGCACAGACATTTTCAATCTTTTATCTTTTTCCCTAAGCACCAGAACTGTTTGACTGTCTTACGTGAATAACCCACAAAACCCCTTTTGAATGAAGGGGTAAAGTGGGAGGTGCAGCTCATCAAAAGCTCCTTATCTGCTGATTCTGTCTGAAACATAAAAAGCATACGTGTAGTATGCAGCACCCAAGCAATATCCCTCCAACTCATCCACCCATGAACATGACCTGCTCCTCCTCTACTGCTCCTATCGTCCGTCCATGTTTAAAACGTCGATGCATAACACATCAAGTACTCAGTGCTGGTTACATAAATGAACTTAGAAATTTGGTTTAGCCAGGCAATGGTGGCACACGCCTTTAATCCCAGCACTCTGGAGGCAGAGGCAGGCGGATATCTGTTATTTGGAGGCCAGCCTGGTCTACAAAATGAATTCCAGGACAGCCTCCAAAGCTACAGAGAAAAACAAACAAAAGATTTAACAGTGACACCCTGAGTAAAATCTAATAACCACTTCTTGTTTTTAAGACATGTGACATGGAGTCAACACGATATACAGTAGCAATGAAACATCACTGCAGTCAGACAGGTGTGACTTCAAATCTCAGTGTCTCACTTCTTAGATCTCTCAGTTCCTATAATAACTACCTACGTTCCCAGAGGACTGCAGGAATTAAATAAGGGCGTGCTGACAGAAAAAAAAAAGCATCCAAAATATTACCTACTGTCGTTATCACAACGTGACATATGTCCTAAGCCATTATATAAGACAACATCTCTACTGTATAAAAGTCAACAGAAATTAGGCAAAGCTTAACTTTCCTCCCTCGCGCCAGTCCCCAGGAACTCTCTCCAGTTAACTTTGTGTTCAAGGAAACCTGTTGCGTGTAGAGATCTTAAGAGAACTATGGACACAAAGTAGCAGATTCCTTTCTACCCTCAAGGGCTGCAGTCCCACCAGGAAGCATACGAGTCATGGCTCCGACAAGCTAAGACGCAAAGGGGTGGCTCGAAACTATGGATCCCACTTTGGACATTAGCGCTTGGGATAGCGGAGCGGGCCAGAGGCAGGCCCGGGTGACTCGGCACCTCCGCCGCCAGGTCCAGCCCTCCCCTCCGAGCGCCGAAGGCAGCACTGGTCTCACTTGGCTCCCGATCCCCAACCAGCTTACCATGACTGACAGAACTTGGTGACTCCGCTTCTCTTCGTGAACCTTACAATAGAAACCCAGAGCTGCTTCTACACAACCGCGGCCTACGCTCTAAAACCCAGAACCCGCGAGAGGCTCGCCGGAAGTGACGGAAGGGACACCACAGAGAGAGTCCCGAGGCCTGGCGTCGGCAGAGAAAAGCAGAAAGTAACGGAGATGCCTGAATTTTGAAAAGTATTTAAAGAAAATACTAAACCTCTTGATAACTTATTTCACAGGACAGCGACTATTCCTAATGTTTAGATAGTATCCCCTTCCAAACAAATTTGGTAGGCTCCATTCTCGTTATTGACTACAATACCCAGAATGCAGGTAGAGCTTCCGGCTTTGGCTTCAGCCATTATGGACTCGGGCGGAAGTACACGCTATAGTGCATAGTAAACGTAATTGCCGTCCTCAAACGATATGTAACTGAATTTACTATGTCTAGGAGTATATTTTCCTGAGTATTCCAGGATGAGATGTAGGCTTTCCTTCCCAAAGTAAAGGTGTCCGCCGAGCGTAGGGGGTTTTGGGTAACTGGAAATCAAAGGCAGTAACAAAGTTCGAGCCACACTCAAGATGATGCCTCTTTAGGGGAGTGGAGACGGGGGCGGGACTTCTCCGCTGCGAATAGCAGGGCTTTGTTGGCTGTCCCGCGATAGGACCCAATCAGAAAGGAGGGAAGGCTAAGAACTATTGGCTGCTGGCGTGGGCCAATTGGAAGAGCCGTGATTTGGCGGGAGTGTTGACCACCTCCCCAGCTACCGGTGTCTCAGCGACAGCTCTGGGTATCCGGCCGCAGTGGCTATGTTCGTGTCCGATTTCCGCAAGGAGTTCTATGAGCTGGTCCACAACCAGGTGACTCCCATTCCTCGATCTTGGTCCAAACCTTATCTGAGGGGAAGGGATGAGGGCGAGTGTTCGTGAATGAGCCAGCAGGACCGGGTGTTGCCACAGAGTTTGAAGTCCCTGTGCTCAATTCACCTGTCCGCATTTCCTTCAACAGAGGGTTCTTCTCTTTGTGGCCTCGGATGTGGATGCCTTGTGTGCTTGCAAGATCCTTCAGGTGAGCTTTGAATACCTTAGGAAGATAGGGCAGCGGCAAGAGGTGAAGGAACAGGGTTGGCCCCAGCAAGAGGTGGGGAGCAGACAGGAAGGGACCAAGGGAAGCTGGGCAGGAACCAGAGAGAGCTGGGAGCTGGTGACCCAAAGAGACCCAACAGTCCCTCTCTGAACTATGCTGGGACTAGAGAAGTATAGGGTAATCGGTGAGACAAGTAGTGTTTTTATTTGGTTTTGTTTGTTTGTTTTCAAAAACCCAATTGAAAATGGTTTCACTTCTGAAATCGTCGAACCTGTAAATGGCCTATCAAAGATGGAATTTGAGAGAGGACTGTGATAGCTGGGAGCCCTGGAATTATAGGAGCTTCTAGTCTATTAGAGAGGATCATTAGTTGGGGCTTTAACTATACTGTGGTTTTTACCATAAGTGGGGGTCAGGAACTTTTCAGAACATCTGTAATTAAAGTTACTTTTTCCCTTAGTGTTTGACTTTGGCAAAGTCTGACAGATTTGGCAGAACTGTACACTGAACACACTCACATCCCTGCCACCTACCTTCTACTGATTTTTGTTTGTTTGTTTTTTGTTTTTGACAGGGTTTCTCTATGTAGTCCTGGCTGTCCTGGAACTCTCTCTGTAGACCAGGCTGGCCTCGAACTCACAGATCTGCTTGCCTCTCCTCTCAAGTGCTGGGACTAAAGGTGTGCGCCACTGCTGCCCAGTTCCTACTGTTGTTTTACCAAACAGCATGGTACATAGATCTTCATCTCTCAGCTTAGCTAATTTGTTTGTTTCTGGTGATTCAAGGTAAGTTATCCTAAATGATAGGGTTCTGACAGTATGTTCTCTCTCCAGGCCCTGTTTCAGTGCGACCACGTGCAGTATACGCTGGTTCCAGTTTCTGGATGGCAAGAACTTGAAACTGCATTTCTTGAACATAAAGAGCAGGTATGAAATAATGAATTTTAGAAGAATTAGGCTACTCTACTCAGTCGCAGTTTCCTAATAGTTACATTCTTCCTAGTTCTAAAGTACAATAAGTGTGTTTTGAAGTTTCAATTTCATTACGCTTCAAATTATGATGGCAGAGTCAAGATTTGAAAAAAAAAAAAACACACACACACAAAATGAGCAATTTGAGGCAAGTCTAAAATACATATAGCAAGTTTGAGGCTAGCCTTGACTATATAACAAGATCTTGTCTTAAAAATAAAAAAAGGTATTGATGTGGACAGCATGTATTCTGATCTCACTCATTTTCCTAGGATACACCACTGCTTTCTGTTACCTCCTCAAGAAAATACATTCCAGTTTCCAAAAATATGGTTTTCCTTTGGAATTAAATGGCAGAACCAAGACTCCTTACCTCTACCTGGGGCCAGATGAGAAATGGGACATTGTGGGACCCATAGGGAGTAGGTGGGGCTTGGTAGAGGGTTTCTGGAGTCCCTGACCACTTCCAGAATGATTTGGAAGAGATATATTTATAAGATGAAGTACCTGTACCGATTGAGTTTTCTCCTCCGTGTTGTGAGACAAGATCTTACTTGATAGCCTAGCCTGACCTTGAACTCTTGGTCAGTGCCCCTTCCTTGACCTTAAAGTGTTATATTGCAAGTGTGAGCCCACAGCCTGGCATTTGAGTGTTATTGAGGAAAGGTTGTTATGTAGTGGATAGTTTGATAAAGGACTTAATATTTAGGAGACATAAAGTATGGACTGCCCAAGATTTACTGCAAATCTTCCCCACATAATACTGTTAATATAGTAAGGCAGCAGGACAGAATAGTTAGGCAATATTAAGAGAGCTTTTGGTATGTGTGTGGAGTCATGGTCTGTTCTTCATTAGCTGTTTGAGTCTGTACACAAGTCTTGAGTTTGCTAAGCCTCTGCATGCTCTTCAGGAAGCAGAAGAGCCCCAGATCCTACTTTATAGTGTCACATTGGAAAGGCAGTAACCAAGCTAGCTGTGGGCAGTTGCCAGGCCACTTGCCATTATGTGCTCAGCAGAGGAGGAGGGGCCTCCTTGGCACAGTTCCTTCACAGTGTGTGTCTCCTTTCAGTTCTGCTATTTCATCCTCATAAACTGTGGAGCCAATGTAGACCTACTGGATATCCTTCAACCTGATGAAGACAGTGTATTTTTTGTGTGTGATACCCACAGGCCAGTCAACGTTGTGAATGTGTACAATGACTCTCAGGTACCTAGCCCTTTCAGGGCCTTTCTTATGTGTGCTTTCCCTTTAATCAGTCTGTACCTTTCTATGCTATGGGGCAGCATTGCACACATCTTTGCAAAGTATATCCCACCTCTCCAGTTAGGGATTATCTTCAGTGCAAGAACCTCATCTTATCTATCTTGTGGACATTTACACAGCACATTTGTGGATCTTGCATCATTTGGAAGGTGGAGGAGCAGAATATTTTAGCTCAAAATGTATTGACTATACTAATTCTGAACCTCTATGTATTAAATATGCAGCCTAGCACAGACCAGCTAAGCATTCTGTGACTCTGAAATCCTCATAGAAGGAACCTCTTCAACAGAAATTAGTCTGGAATTGTTATTAGAGACAAGAATTGTATTGGCTTAGGGGTTCACGTCTTGACCCATTTGTATCTGTATAAGAAAATATCTGAGACTGGGTACCTTAAAATAAAGGTTACAGTTAACTTACTGTCCTGGATATTCAAGAGCATGGTGCAAACATCTGTTGTGCTCATGTGAGACCACTATGGAGAGTGTTTTTCCAAAACAGGGAGTGTTTTAGACATTGAGAAAGAGTCCATGGTGAGATAGGAAGCAGCAGAGCAAGCTGAGGAAGTTTTATAACCACTTGCAAGTGGAGACTAAGCCTTTACAAGGTCTGAAACACTTCTGAGAGATGCTGTTACTGTATAAGTAAGGAGAGAGCCCCAACTGACCTAACACTTTCCAGGCCCTACCTTTAAATGGCTCTACTCCCTCAACATCCTACATAGGCAGCAAGCTTCTGCCTTAGTGGACCCTTTGGGATATAGTCATATCCAAATATCTAACCATAGCAATTTTTTCATATCCTCTGTCAAAAGCCAACTGGTGAAACCTTTATTTTTGCTTTTTAATGTATGCATAAAAAAGAAATGTTGCTCAGACTTAAAGTGGACTGGAAATGCTTTTCAAACTTAGTTTCATAATTTCTGCATGACATGTGAGACAGCTCTGGTGCCTTACTGAGTGGTGCCAAGAAGCCTGGAGCTCTTCTTATATAGTTGCTATTTGTTTGTACAGAAAACTTAGGAGCCAACTGATTAAGAAAAAGTAAGATCCTACCTAAGCATCCTGAGAAATGGCTTCCTATCAGGGAGAGAAGAAAGATTTGATTGCTTTTCATTTTTTAACATAGATCAAGTTGCTCATCAAACAAGAGGATGACCTTGAAGTTCCTGCCTATGATGACATCTTTAGGGATGAAGCAGAGGATGAAGATCTTTCAGGAAGTGACAGTGATGGCTCAGAGCCTTCTGAGAAGCGTACACGGTTAGAAGAGGTATATTTGGGCTGAGTGGGCATTTTGGAGGAAACAAAACTAGGAGAGGTATGTGTGAGCCAGGTGTGGCATTCTGAGCTTAGGCACAGCCGGGGGCACCAAGCAGTGGGAAGTGGAGTAGTTATTAGGTATAGGTACCAACTCTGCCTTCTATTCCCTATCTTTGTGGCCTCAGGCAGATTTCTGAAGTTATTTGAGCTGTACCTTATCTTACAGGAGGATCCTGGCAGAGGGAATGGAATTTAGGACAGCTTAGCCTTATGTAAGAAAAGGTAGCAAACATTAAAAAAAAAAAAAAAAAAAAAAAAAACCACTATGGAGAAACATTAAACACCTGATTCCCCCACAGTATTGCTCTTTGCAGTTACCAGAAAGGCACTGTGTGTGTTTGTGACCCCTCGGCCAGCTCTGTGTAAACACTCTAAGGAAGTCGTTTTTGTGATCTGAGATTGGAGGGGTCTGTGCAACATGAGCTTCTACTAGTTAAAGCATAGCAGGTTGACGGTGGCTGTCCCTCTAGTGTGGACAGCTACATTTTGTTCT